GAGGGAACCGTTATTTTTTTCGTGTTTGGGCGCACGGCTTGAGATGGCTTCTTTTGGTCTTTTTTATTGCTGCTCGGGTTTGAGATGGGTTCGGACGTTCTCGTGTGTTGTCCTTGCGGGAGAGATTTGTGGGGACGTTTCCCCGGTGATTTTACCCCGCGTTCATCATGACAGGTGTCAAGCCACGCGAGAGCCACCATGGTGCCGCATGCAGGGTTCCGGATTTTCGCTGCGTCATTTGTCACATCTATTTGTATCACTGGCCAGGTTCCAAAATAACTCCACTGGTCCTCCTAGTCATACAATAAGTGTTCAGTCCTCCCTTCTTATCTTGGGTAAATCGATCCAAAGTTCATCCTTACACTGGTCCCTGCTATCTCTGAATCTTTCAACTCGATCGAGCAGCCAGCCCGACCGCGCACCTCTTGCGCCTTCGCCAAGCAGCGGGGCCGTAGAGTGTTTGCATTGGTTTTCGTAAAAGACAAATTGCACACAGTTTGGCTCATTTTCACACTTTTCGCGGCATTCGATGACGTTCTTCACATGAGGGATCAGGTCGGGCGAGAGATTGTTCCAGTCGGACATGAAAGGTTTCTGCTCCGAGCCGGATGCAATGCGAGGCAAAATGTAGTCGTTGAACACGTTGTGATGGCGTACCAGCGGCTCGTTCTGTGTATGGAATTAGGAAAAAGTTCTCTTGTTGGGCTCACCTTACTCACCCTTGCTATCCTTTCCTGCTCCCAAGTCCATAGATCTTTGATTTCTTCAGGCAACATGTGATGGTAAGAGATGGTCGGATAACACCACAGCCGTTTAGAGTAGTTGTCCTCGCCGTATTGGACAGCGCCGGGCTTGTTTCCTTGGAAGATTGGCCAAGCCCAGGTCAAGGGGCAGCCAGAAGCGTGAACGGCACGGCCGAGAACGCAATCGCCCGCCCAATGTTCCTGCGTGAACCCCTCCCATTTGCGCTGCTCGTGCCGGAAGAGCTCGACGACATTGCGCATGGCAGCCTGGGACAAGATGAAGCCGGACCCGCCGTGGGCGAAGATGACATCGCCGATTTGCATCTGCGCCCCGAGATATATCGGCTCAGATGCGTTCAACGTGTTCAGCCACGCGAGCGTCGTGCTCCACATGATATAAGTGTCTGTTTCCACGAAGATGTACCATTGTTTGCTCGGATATTCAAACAGGGTGCGGTTGACCATGGGCAGGAACTTCCATTTGTCCAGCTTCCAGCCAGGATTGTCGGGTTTGCCCAGCGCATCTGTGACCTTTGTCTTGGCCATGCTGAGATCCTGTTGTGTGAGGCCCTTGCGCCCATTTTTCCTCAGCCGCCGCCACAGGATGAAGTCTGGATTGGACGCCTTTACATCCGAGGTAACGTATTCGAGGGCGTCTATCGTCTTGTGACCGTAGTAGTCTTCGACGTGGTCGGAAATAACCAGTCTATTGGGGTAGCAGCGAAACGTAGAAGACAGATGGACGGGTAGCCGAGCCTGCATCTCCGTGGCTCCCGTCTTCATGATCACGACGGTATCGTTGGCACCTTCGAGCTCCGAACATGGCAGCGGCGTCTGGTCAATATCCTCGGGCGGTGTGAATGGCGAGGTTCGTCCGATTCCCAACGACGAATGCAGCGAGTCTGGACTCAGATGGCCTCTGTTAAATAGGTGAATTACACCAATAATTGCGCCGGCGCCCAAGAGAAGTCGAAGAAAATGTCGCGTTCGGAAATTGCTGGTGGCCATGATGGAATCTGGAGGATTAATGAGAGTGGCAAGGCCGGCACATGCCCCCAAAGACGAAGCTGTAACGCGGATTGGGGAAGGGGTTGTGTGCCGAAACGTTTTTGTGGCGATGTAGGTGCCTGAGGCACAGCGCGCGCGTAAGATATTGTGCCTGAGGCATGTATAGTGCATGAGACAGGGAATAGTTTCGGATCTCCGACAAATATATTACACGCTAATGCTGGCTCCACTCAATTGTGTTCAGATCCACTCCCTCTTGCACCAACTCCCACAACGGGCTTAGATCCCGCAAAAACTGTACCCTTTCACGCACCGCTTGCAGGACGTAGTCTATCTCTGCTTCGGTAGTGAACCGACCAATGCCGAAGCGGATGCTCGAATGCGCTGATTCGTCTGAGCTGCCCAGGGCACGCAACACGTAGCTCGGCTCTAGCGATGCCGAGGTGCAGGCGGAGCCAGACGAGAGTGCAATGTCCTTTAGCGCCATCAGTAGACTCTCGCCCTCGACGTAGGCAAATGATACATTTACGCAGCCGGGGTAGTGTCTAGTGGGGTCGCCGTTGAGCGTCGTGTGTTCCATAGCCAGTAATCCGCTCGAAAGCTTTTTGGACAGATATGTCACCCACTTGGTGTCATACTGTATAAAGTCAGCTGCCATTCTGTATTATGGCAACAGGTAGCAATATCTTACCTGCATCTCCTCTTGCGCGACTCTTGCTGCCTCACCGAAACCAACGACCAGGGATGGGGCAAGAGTGCCCGATCTCAGCCCGCGCTCCTGGCCTCCGCCTGATATGATGGGGTCAAGACGAACTCTTGGACGTCGCCTCACGTAGCAGGCACCCATTCCCTTGGGGCCGTAAATCTTGTGAGCCGATATAGACATCAAGTCAACGTTCATCTTGTTCACGTCGATCGGTATCTTGCCCACAGCCTGTGCGGCATCCGTGTGGAAGAAGATTTTCCGACTTCGGCACAGCCTACCAATCTCCTCGACGGGCTGCACTACTCCGATTTCATTGTTCACCGTCATGATCGATACCAGACACGTCTCAGGTCTCATGGCCTTCTCCAAGTCCTCGAGGTTGATGAGACCATTGCTCTGCACGGGCAGATAGGTGACATTTATGCCTTCATCCTGCAGATGGCGGCAGCTGTCCAGCACGCACTTGTGCTCGGTTTGGCAAGTTATAACATGAGGATTCTTGCCCGACCGCTTTGCAAACCGCGCCACGCCCTTGATGCTCATGTTGTTGCTTTCGGTCGCGCCGCTGGTGAAGATGATTTCCTTTGGATTTGCGCCAATGAGGCTCGCAATGTGCGTCCTCGCCTGTTCAACGGCTGTGTCCGTCTCCCAGCCGTAAGCGTGGGTTCGCGAGTGCGGGTTCCCATACAACCCTGTCATAAATGGAAGCATGGCGTCGACCACGCGCGGGTCTGTTGGCGTCGTCGCTTGCATGTCCAGATAGATTGGGCGCGTTCCCTCGTCCATGATAGTCGCCTTCTTTAAGATCCCCGCTGCTGGACTCAGCGCCGTATCGCCCGGCACGCCCAGGCCGGAGAGCTCAACATGGCGCGGTCCGACACCCGTCTCGTCGAAGAACGCCTTTTGATCTTGCCTTACAGTCTCCGCCACCGAAGCTTTCCGCGGCGCCGACTCGGAGGCATAACTTCGAACCGCAGCGCCGGACCCGCGCGCTATTCGTCGCGCAAATGGCGATGCGACCGGCAACCTCCGACTGCAGTGTAGAGCACGCCGAGCGACAGTGTGTGACATTGTGGGAAAGGTGAAGAGGGTTCGAACCAGCCGATGGGGCAAACTATGACATCACGTGTAGGCTGCGACGAATCGGCGGCCGCCTGCGCGTCTTGCGCTCTGGAAAAGGACTTGGATGGACGTAAATGTAACAACCGTCTGCGCAGACAGCTGGATTGCTTTGGAAGACTTGTACAATAATCAGACTCACTCTATTCCCTCTCGCGTACAACCCTCAGTCCATCCCTCGAAGGAAACGCTGCGCGCTTGAAGCTCTGTAGTTTGCAGTCAGCCCGTCATGTTCTCCCCCAGACGCTTTGTAGATACGTACGCTGTCGCATTCTTCCCATGCGCGTCCAGCCCCAAAGCCCAAACCAGCCCACACCGGCCAAGCCCGTCTCTTGAACAGCAAAAAGGAGAAAATGACGCCAAAGGACGCGCCAAGTGTGCTGCGGATGAGAAGCGTGCTCATACAATGGTCCCACTGCATATAGATCGACGTCAGCATGTTATCCCGGTAGTATGTGGTCCACCCGTGCCTTGTCATTCAAAAGCGCTTCGCTGAGCGGGCGGCCAGAGCGCAGGATAGACGGCGGCTGTACGCCAGTAGGCGACTTTGTAGGGTTTGTGTCGGCCATTGTCTCTGTCTTGTGCGGCTCGACTGCTTGCTGTTGTTGTCGGTCGAAGCTCGGTGACAGCAGGCACGGGCGGCAAAACGTCGGTTAAATGTTCATTTTTGGTTAAATCTCACTCTCGGCAATATCCGAACTACCAAAAAGCTGCGGTGGCCGAGTGGTCAAGGCGGTAGATTTAAGTTTTCACAACCTAAACCTCTACTGGGGAAACCCGCGCGCGTTCGAACCGCGTCCGCAGCAAAATTTTTTTTTGTACTTTCCAATTTAAGAGGAGCGGCCGAGTAGAGTTTAAAAAGCTCCCTCCCTGTGGAGAGTGTCACCACATAGCAGCATGAGATGTTCTTGTCTGGCAAGATTTTATCTTCATCAAAACGCAGAACTTTCCCACATGGGCCTACATAGGAGTTGGAATCGGGAAAAGAACTTATTACTATAATTCCCGCAAAAGCGAGATTAAAATCTCATTGTCCTGTTGGTATAACAAAAACCTTTTGGGGCGAAGTATTATTCATCCAACCACGACACTTTCCTCGATCATGGCAGAAGAACAATTCATCACTCAAGCTCAGTTCGCCAGACAAGAGTTGGTCGTAAAAGGCATTCCACTCTTGCATGATTTCAATAACATCCTCGACTTCCCACGGCATGACGAGAGAAGCGGTTTCGAGATAACTCTCAGCGACCCATGCCAGATACATCTTCAGTGGTAATCCTCCCCTCCAGAGGACACGGACCGCTTCGGGCGAATCGTTCACAACACCTGAGCCCGGGATCCTGTCCTTGTTATGCTCTGTGAGGTTGAAGAACATAATTTCCGAAACTTGTTCTTCTACGCAATCGTCCCATCTGATTATCAGGTCAAAGTACGAGTGCAAGAAGCCATGCTCCTCGCACCTGTAGTGGGCAATATGAAACTCGTGAAAACATCGTCTAATACATCCCGGTGGGGATGCAGGTTCTTCAGAATGCCAGTCGAATACTGTGATTGGAGTGTTTTCCTCATGATTCCACAAAAAGACTGGTTGGTTCTGTCGCGTGACCAACGCTGGCGAGGGTGGGCTTGAAGGCAGGCTCTCGTTCAATGGACGGGCCATCCTGGTAGGAGTCATGGGTGCTGGCGAGATGTGATCATCACCATTGCCACCATTTCTGATGTTACGGAGCTGTTCGGGAGTGTAACGTAGAGTCCTTTCCCTTGACAGGTAGCTCTCTTCATCATCCGAGGAATCAGCAGGGATTTCTTCCTAATCATCCGTGCGATAACTTGCATTGATTTGCTGGGGACTTGGTCTCCGTAACCTTGACAGTTGTCGAGGGAGCCATGGAGATGCAAGAGATGCTGGTTGGGCCACGGGGTAGGGAGCGGTGCGCTCAAGTCCAGCCATGGCATCATTTAGACTGCGCTCGTCTATTGCCGCCCACATAGTAAGTGCTGCTTGCATCTCTGTCTCCGCTTGCGTGATCTCCTCATCTGATCCATGGTGCAAAAGCTCCCTATAGCAGGACGTGCTGTATTGAACAACGTCGGCCGCGGCAGATAGTAGCTCGTGGCTCCATGGAACCAGCGCATTTGATTGATATTGTGCGTTTGTTACAGTTGGATTCATCTCCGGCAGATCAATTTGTCTTGGCGTATATGTAGCGGCCACCCGTCGAAGCTGCGGCATCCAAACAGGAGACTGCAATGGCCGGGGCAGAAGCACCCTTGGCGGGGATGGCGAAGACACCAATGACATTTTTAATTTTATCTTCCAGCCAAAACCGAAGGGGCAATGGCGATAATGACGACAAGACTCGATACAATGAGCCCGAAAGCAACAAGCGAAACTAACACTATGCTTCCACGGGAGGCCGGGAATTTCCCACGGATCACGTAGTGCTGAGACTCGAAATAGCGATGAAAGCCGATTAGGAGAATCAGGATGGCTAGCATCGGTTAGCCATAGTGATGGGGTGCAAGCGAAACAACATACAGATGGCCAGAAAGGTTGCTCCGAGTGGCTTGCCCGCTTGTTTCAGAGGGTGTGCTTCCCTTGAGGCCGGAGATCTTAAGTCTAACTTTGCTTCGGAGGAATATGATGGTGGCGACGAGGAAGAGTCGGAGTTGAGGGAAGAATTGAGGCGGAACAGCTGCGTCACAGCAATACCGATGCTGGCAAAGGAAAGGGAAGTGCGCAGCCAGGCGAGGAAGGTGCGTTCTTCGATGATTAGCAACAGTGGGCCCTGAATCATCACATATCACCTACCAAGTGCTAGATGGTCTCGGGCAACACTGCCCTTGTTTTCCAGTTCGATGCTTCCGTATTTGTCCAAGATTCGCTTCCACCAAGACTTTTGGTCAATTGAATCCTGGTCACTTGGCTCTGGACTGTTTCCGTGAACTGACGACGCACTGCTTTCACTTTGGTGCTGCGCGTTGCTCTCCATGGTTTGCTCTTGATTATTTGTTTCTGCCATGTTTGGGATAAGATGACGTCTTTTTGCCCAAAGCCAAACTCGACCAATCAGAGCCACTACTTTGCCTGTCACCGGCCCTTTTCTCGCTTCAATACGTCAGGGACGTCGATAGCCTGAAGCGTCACGGCTATGTGCATCTTTTTGAGTCACGACAGCTGGTTCACTTTGATATCCTAAATCAGAAGAGACGTTGTGATGGTCAGCCTTGGATGACAGCGTCTCAAACGTACCGATGAGTCACCGCTATGATTGACTTGACAATTGCGCCATCACATGCTTTCAAGGCGGGGCCCCGCGATGAGTGAAACCAAAACGCCGCAAAAAAAGACTCGGCGCAGTCGGGAACGAGCCCTTTTCTCATATGAGATTGGCTTCTGTCTCGTCATCGTTAGATATGCACATAAGAATATAGAGCGCCCCTCATGTTACTAATCTTTCTATTCGTCCTCGGCGCAACGGCCTCACTTTTCTGTTCTTCTTTCCAGCCTCAATCAGCAGTCAGCCTCGGCTACGTCTTTACTACAAAGCTGCCTTATTTTCCTGTTCATTCGACTCCCAAAGCAAAGACCAAGTCCGACTCCCAAAGAACAGAGAAAAGGTGGAAGCGATGTCTCCTCACCCAACCAAACTCGATCTCGCAGCATCAACACGAGAATCATCCAAGAAACTATTCTCTACACCACTTCCAAGCCCCGAAAAGGCCTGTTTTGCCTCGACGTTCTCGACAAAAGATGCATTGAGCGAGCAAAAACCACAATCTAATATGAACGGAAATTTGTTAGCCGAAGCGGCGAAAAGGGCACAGATGGCCTGCTTAGCAAGGGATCTGGGGGATTTTGGGATTTGAAGGGGCATTCTGGGATGATGTGAGTGTGGATGGGACATGATGTGTTGCGATTGGCAATGGGATTTTCCTCTTTCAAATGGTAATAGCATTAATCTCGACTCCCATGGCAAAGCATAGCAGGGGGCGATTTTGGAAGATGACAGGCCAAATTTGGAACTCTGCGTTTGATGTCTCTCCACTGTCCCCACGCGGAGCCGGGGACCCCGGCGCTAATGCTGCGGGGTACATGCATGTTCAATCTGATAACAACCTAACCGCACGAAAGAAGAAATAAAGATACGATCCCAGCGCACGCCTCACACCATGCCTGTATGATCTCTTTTTCCCTTAGAATGACAATGTACACTAAGACCAAGATAAGCTGATCCTCATTTCCGGCTTCCCCTGCTCTGGCAAGACATATCGCAGCACACAACTGATTCAAGACCTCCAACGGCTCGCAGGCGATAGCTACGAAATTATCCATCTAACAGACTCCTCCCTCAACATCACACCATCAGTGTACACCAACGCAAGCACAGAGAAAACCGCGCGAGCGAAATTCACATCCGCAATCCAGCGCTCATTGGGGAGCAAAACTATCGTCATAGCGGATACGTTCAACTACATCAAAGGCCATCGGTACCAGTTATACTGCGAAGCAAAGGCCGCCAAGACAAAGAGTTGTGTTATGCACGTAGCGTGTGATCCTGAAACCGCGCGACAACGCAACGAAGCAGCGGGGTTGAAGTACGATGTGGAGACGTTTGAGAATCTGATTTTCAGGTACGAGGAACCGGATGCGAAGAATAGATGGGATTCGCCACTCTTTTTTGTGCCGGATGGTGATGAGAAGCCTCCGTCGGAGAACATGTGGAATGCTCTCGTTGGTGATGCAAACAAGGTCGAGGTGAGGCCGCACAAGGCCACCGTGTTGAAGCCACAGGCTGGCGAGGGCTACCTGTTTGAACTGGATAAAGTCACCAACGATGTTGTTCAGATCATCCTTGAATGGGCAAAGTGTCATGCAGGGGAGGGTGGGGCGGTGCCTGTGCCCGGGTCCGGGGCCGACAGCGCCAAGACCGTGGTTCTGCCGGCCTTGGGCCCACCGTCGTTGCCGCAGTTGCAGAGGTTGAGACGACAGTTTATTGCGTTAAATAGACAACACGCTGTCGACAAGGAGAGGCTAAAGGGCCTGTTTGTCGACTACTTGAATGATGCATTTGAATAGAGTCAGACTTTGTACGCGTTTCTATCATTTATCAGGCAATACGGTCGATTCAGCATCCACTGCAACATCCCATGCCTTTTACTCCATCATCTTTGTCATCAGGAAAGCTTATGAACTGGCCAAGATCAACTTTCTCGCGCAATTCCTCAGTTTTGGCCTGTTGTTGGGAAGATCGTTGCTGGGCAAAAGGATCGAGATAATGTCGTCTCATGCAACCTGTTGCCCAAGATCCCGTGCTAAAGTTTTGCAGAACTTCTGGACAATTCGCACATGTACAGCCGTACTGGCAACATCTCGGGCAGATAGCCATAGGCTGCTGATATGTGGCATAGTCCTTAGCTAATTTATCGCCATCGTATTCTGGTAGGTTTGGCGGGATGTTCTCTGTCCAGGGACGATCGAATTGCGGAGCTGGGGTCTCCAAAGGAGTAGCCGGAGACGATTTTAGTCGAATGGGCAGCGCCCCAGAAATTTGTGGCGCATAATTTGGTACCTGTCCAAAGTTTGAGTCTACCGCTTGCGGTTCAGCAAATCTTGGAGTTACCTGTGAGGGCTCCACGTGCGTCGACGAGCCATCTTGAGCAAAAGACATTTGAGTCGAGTAGCTAAACCCGGGATCCATATTGCTTTCTGCTGCCATTGATGCATGCTGCAGCTCCATATCTGATTGCTGGCCGTGGGGATCCGAAACCGTTCTTACTGATCGAGATGGGAAATCGAATCCAG